CAACATAGTCCAGCAGGTTATTTTTCTGATCTTCCACGTTGTAGACGCTGCCTGGAAAGTCAGAAAAAGAATTAGTAACAGAAGGTTAAACTGCGAATAAAACTTTTATATATAATATACATATTATATTATATATATATATATATATATATATATATATATATATATATATATTATATAATATATAACTACTACTACCTGTATCTGTACGTATCAGCAAGGATTCGCAACTTATACAAAAAATTCCAGCACTATATAATCTTACCTTGAAGACGGGGCACCACACGAAGTCGTAATCGGTGACCCAGCGGAGAGTGTTGTACACCGACTCCTTAGATGGCAAGAAGACGCTGCTGTTCAAGGTCCTGCAGCGCTCCTCGACTTTGCTGCGTCGCTCCTCCAGCGCAGCCTCTCGCGCCCGGGACATCTCCTCCGTCTGGGAAGGGGGAGGTCAAGTCATGAGGGAATTTCTCTCTCTCTCTCTCTCTCTCTCTCTCTCTCTCTCTCTCTCTCTCTCTCTCTCTCTATATATATATATAATATATATATATATATATATATATATATATATATATATATATATATATACATATTCATTTCTCAGTCTTCTTTGCCTTATTCTCCAGTTGGGTCGGCCATTTTGTATATATATATATATATATATATATATATATATATATATATATATATATATATATATATATATTATATGTGTGTGTGTGTGTGTGTGTGTGTGTGTGTGTGTGTGTGTGTGTGTGTGTGTGTGTACATATACGTGTGTTGATAATTAGAGCAATATGCTGATATTACTGATAATAAGAAAATAATGATAGATAATATCAGTGACATTTATAATGCTACGATCACAGGCAGACTGACGGGTATTTTGCTTGTATGGAAAAAACAAAAAAATCGAGACATATTCGCTTTAAAGACAATGATATATCTCATTGCCTTCTGACCTTTTTGCATCTACTGTTGTCTATAATTTTCCCGTATCTAAATGAATAAGATCTCACTTGTTGTCTTCCATATATCCATATAATCCATTTATGCATATAATTTTCCTTGTAGTACCATAATCCGTGGTTTTATAGTATGTTCTTAATATGAGCATTGGTGAAGCCACAGCATTTTTTCTCCAAAGCTTTGCAATTCCTCTGAGGATGGCGAAACAACTTTT